AGAACCCGCTCCGATCTACGCTGGCAGACTTCTCTCTTATCTATAAAATCATCAAAAATAAGTAAAAGGGAAAAAAAAACAAATTCATATTATCACACACGTAGGTCGGAAATATGGAGGAGCGAGGAACAACATTGTTACTTTGTATTCACTCTGTTTCATTAATCCGCAGAACAAAGACATGAAGCAGATAAAACAATCATCATTTGCTGTTATTTAACCTCTTATTAACCCTTAGTTGACCCTAATCAGCCCAAATTAACTCTATTTTCTAGTCATTAATATTTAAACCTATTTTGTATTTATTTTATTTGTTAATTTTTATTTGTGCCTTATGTATCCCCTTATTACCCTAATCCATTCCTAATTAACTCTCCTGTTATATTTTTCTAGCCATTACGATTTAAACCTTTTTTTGTTTTCATTCCTTTTATTTTCTGACCTTTTTATTTTTGTTTGCATTTCTTTTATTTGATAATTTGTATTCCTGCCTTATTTAACCCCTTATTACCTTAATCCATCCTAATTAATTCTCCTTTTTTTTTTTTCATTTTTCAACTCATTTTTGTTTTTATTCCTTTTGTTTGTACGTTATATTTAACCCCTTATTAACCCTAATCAGCCCTAATCAACTCCTCATTTATTTTTTTATATGTAAACCTATTTTTGGTTTTATTTCTTTTGCCTTGTTACATTTTTTTTTTAGTGTCGCATTAATAAGTGGGACAATTGATGAAATAATATGCATACCTTTTTTTTTTAAAGGAGAACTATGGGGAGAGTGAAATACGCCTAAACCGAAACAAAACAGGCCGAAACCGATACCGAAAATGTTTTTATTTTAATTTTTAAAAATGTTTTAAATATTTTATTTTTTATAAACTTTTATTTTTTTTTAGATTTATTTATTTTTTATGAAATATTTTAATTTTTTACTTTACTTTTATGGGCTTTGGGGAAATATTAGGGGTCTAAACAGACCCCTGATATTTCCCTTTTAAAATAGAAAAAGAGATTGAGAACACAGAGTCCTCAATCTCTTTTTCTGTGTCCCCTGTTATCAATGAACAGGAATCCTCTATACTGAGTGTTCCTGATCATTCATAACATGAGGACAGAGTTTGTTAACTATAACCACAATCATGAATGAACAGGAAGTGATGTAGGAGAGGATGTAGATCACTTCCTATTCATTCATAATTGAGGATATAGTACACATACCATGTCCTCAATTATGTACAAACACTCAGCGATCACTGATCCCTGACTGCTTGTACCGCTCTTCTCTCTGACACGCTGTCACAGGAGGCTGAGTGAGCGGAGCAGGAAGGAGAGCCCAACCACCTGTGACAGCGCTGTCTCCGCCCCCACACCGCTCTGCCGCACTGTGATAGGCGGCCGAGCGATGTGGGAGGAGAGACACCGGCCGCTCACAGCGCTCTCTTCTCGCAGCACTCGGCCTCCTGTCACAGTTTCTCTCTGCCCCACTGGGACATGGAGCAGTGCCCAGCGGGGAGGAGAGAAATCACGGATGCGCCGATGTATCGGCAGGAAAATGGCACTTTCGGCATTTAGCCAAAAGCACAATTTTCGGCCTATATGTTACGGCGGGCGATATATCGGTGCATCCCTACTTGAAACGCTCTTTCTATCTCTCTGTGTACATATATTTAAGATATATATATATATATATATCCTAAATATAAAATGTTTTAAGTCCACTTTTTGGAAAAAAAATAAATACACATTTTAATAAAATTAAAAAAAATCTCAATTTTTTTTTTGTATGGCAGCAAGTAAAGCACGGCAATTGTGAGTAGTGGATGACGGGTGCAAAGCTCCGGCTCTTGCAGATTCTCCCTGCCGTCCCTGTCCTTACCTCAGTACAGACATTCAATAACATGGACGGGAGGAAGAATCATTTTTACTACCTGTTCAGTAACGTCATCCCACTTCTATTCCATTGAGAACTATCAGTCCCTCTGCTGCAACTTGTAGTTTATCCATTCACAGATCCCGTCAAAGGTTCTCTGAATGGATGACGCGGCTCTGAAAGCGGACCACGTACAACTGCGTCATTTAAAAAAAAAAAATGACAGTAGCCTGGATATGAGGAAGTTTGGATGGACTACACAGTACGGTGGCGTCACCAACCTTGTATTCCAGCGAGAACTACAAGTCCCTCTGCTACAAGTGGCTGATGGGACGTGCAGTTTTTCCATCCAGAGATCCTGTCAAAGGAGGATGTGGCTGTGTGGGCGGAGCCATTTAAAAAAAAAATCAGTGCACCCCAGGATTCAGGTACGTGGGGGCTGGGGCTGGAGGAGGGCGGGGTTGTCATGTGACCATGTTTCATGTTACACCCTGAATATGATCAGAAACATATCATTTACCGTGTTTCTAAATAATTGTATCCAGCGTCTGACACAATGTAACCATCCATGACAACGTTTACACTGATCTCTCATTTGTTGTCATGACAACAGATAACACAGGAAGTGATTTTGACGTTTTAAAAGAATATATCCATCGATTCGTCCTTTTATTGTCATGTGACCTTTCTTCCTGCGGGGAATGGTGTTTGGATTTGTTTTCGATCGCTCCGAGTCCTGCGTCTCTCGGGACGGACCGATCGAAAAAGTCGCCCCCGACAGGAAACTGAAGACTGAAAACCTAAAGCTACAAGTTTCACCTCGAAAGAAAGAAACACCAGAAACTCCGTTCAGATTTCAGATTTAATCATTGTCATAGAAGTTGTCACATCCGGCGGCTTCAAAGAGTCAGGTGGAAGAGCCGGGCTGTCATCCTCATCCTTGCTATAGGACATCATAAGCATTTATCCATCTGCTCAGCTCCGGAGTTATGACCCGAGCTGCATTCTTAGTAGGGAGGCAAATGGATGAAGATGACAGACCTGAGCTTGAAAAGCAAAAGCAGAAATACAAAAAGTTCTAAGCGAAAATACAAAAACGGTACAAATCAGTACATACAGAGACAGATATTTCACGGCATATATAGGCCAATGGCACCGGCTATTGTTGTCGGCCATCTTAGGCTTATGACAGGAAGTCACCTGTGTGCTGGACAATATCTTTCCACTAATTTTAGATTGAGGAGAGGCTGTTGGCTTCAGCGCCCACCTTGGGCTTTTGACAGGAAGTCACCTATGCTCTGGGCAATATATTCCCCCCAATTTTAGGTTAAGTAGAGGCTGTTGGCTTCAGCACCCACCCTGGGCTTATTACAGGAAGTCACCTGTTTGCTGGACAATGTCTTTCCCCTAATGTTAGACTTAGGGACTGTTGGCTTCAGCACTCACTCTGGGCTTATGACAGGAAGTCACCTGTGTGCTGACAATATATTCCCCCCAATTTTAGGCTGAGGTGGGGCTGTTGTCTCCAGGACCCACACTGGGCTTATGACAGGAAGTCACCTGTGTGCTGGACAATATCTTTCCACTAATTGTAGACTAAGGAGAGACTGTTGGCTTCAGCGCCCACTCTGGGCTTATGACAGGAAGTCCCCTGTGTCCTGGACAATATCTTCCCACCCCAAGGTCACAACTTTATCACAAATAAATCCCTTAAAACCCATCTCTCAGCCTCACAAGAAAGAGGGACACCCCCTTGATGAGCAGGTGCGAGGAGGAGGGCGCTGCAGTAAAAAGTGGGTGTGGCTACACTGCCCTTTACATTGGTTGGACGTGGCTGAAACCAACCCACTATGTACAAATCAGCGGCCATTTTGGTATATTTAGACTTACTGCCCCCCCCCCCTAGAAAAAAAAACATAAAATCAGAAGCCATTTAAAGGGCCAGTCTTTCCAAAATGGATATTTGGTTGCTTGAGCCCCCCACCCCACCCTTGGGGGACATCAGCGGGTAAATCTCTGCCTGGCTCCGCCCACCCACCCACCATCTGCATTATCTTTTGCAAGTAACTTGCCGAGGTCAGAGGGGATTAAAGTCTCCGGCATCTCCTCATACCCAACACCTCAGTCCTGGGGGTGGGTGGGGGGGCTATGGGCCAAAAACACATTATAGAATGAAGCTAAGACAACCGACTATGAAGGGCATCACATGAAGCATGTAAAAAGCATCTTGGAGCCCTCAGAGCAGCCTTCAGCTCCAGACTATGGGGAATGACTAAAGATATTGAGGGCAATGCAGGCTCTAGCAGTAACAAGCTTTAAACAAGCATTAGCAGGCTTTTAATTGTTTGATAAAAGCCTGTTAAAGCTTGTTACTGCAAGAGCCTGCATTGCCCTCAATGTCTTTTAGTCAATCCCCACAGACGGGAGCTGAAGGCTGCTAACAGCTGATATCAGCTGATATAACTTGCAAATGCGAGCAGCTTTAAGTAAGGAAAGGGTATTATTGTTGAGCACTTAGTGCAGAAGCTATTCGATAACAATTCTTACAGGCTTCGCTAAGGTGACCCCTGCGGGCAGTTTCTACATGCTGCTGATGCCTGCTGAAAGCTAAAGGCTTAAAGTTAAAGCTTGCTAAATGTCCGCTGAACGTGACAGAAAGCAGCAGTCAGCTCCATCCATATCGGGGGTTATTACATCTAACAGTAGCAAGCTTTTAGCAGGCATTTAGCAAGCTCTAACAGGCATTTAACAGGCTTTGCGAATCTTATAGGCAATGTCTAAATGCTGCTGAACGTGATGGAACACAGCCTTCAGCTCCAGCCTGCGGGGATTGACTAAAGACATTGAGGGCAATACAGGCTCTAGCAAACTTTTAGCAAGCTTTAGCAAACATTTAACAAGCTTTAATAAGGTGACCTGCCCGTTTCCAAACGCTGCTTAAGCTTGCTAAATGCCTGCTGAATGTGACAGCCCTAACCTTGGCTTTTTAACCTACAAAAAGTCAAGGTCAAAGTCATCAACAAAGCACAGTTACCCCAAATACTCGCTGTAGTTTTTACCAAACCAACTAGGGCAAACCATGATATTAATTGTTACCGCAGTTGCCAACCGCCGGCATCGTCCTTAATGAAGTCCATTTATTCATAAATGGTCTGTGGGGAATATTCGCTGGTCTTGCTGCTCAGGCTGGGGTGCCTGTACCTCATGCCGCACCTGAGCCAGTTCCCGAACAAGGAGGCCAGATGGCCCCGGAACTTGGTGCCGACGAAGGTGTAGAAGAAGGGGTTGACGCAGCAGTGGAAATAGGCGATGTTCCGGCAGACGTAGAAGACGTAGTCGATGGTGTTGCTGCAGTTGCCGTCCTGAGACTCCTGGTATAGGTTCTGCAATCCGATGAAGAGGACGGCGTTGAACGGGGTCCAGCAGACGAAGAAGGCCAGCACGATGATGAGGATCAGCTTGACGGCTTTGTCCTTGTTGTGCATTTTGGTGCGGTACAGCTTGACGACGATCAGCGTGTAGCAGTAGAGGATGATGGCCAATGGGATCAAGAAGAACATAAGCAGCTGCTGGCAGTACCCAACCATCTTCCACCATCGGATGGTGTCCACCTGGTAACCAGTCTCCACACAGAGAGTCCCGGATTGGACATCGTCCCTCGTTCCATACAAGATAAATTTCGGGATGGTGGACAACAGACTGGTCACCCAGATGACCGCGCTCGCCAAGTAGACATACAAGAGCTTCCTGGTCCTGGCGGCGTAGATGGCGTGGACGACGGCCATGTAGCGGTCGATGGTCATCATGGTCAAGAACAGAATGCTGCTGTAAAATCCGACGTAGAACATGGAGGAGACCACCTTGCAGAGACTGTCTCCGAAGATCCACTCGTAGCTATGATAGTAAGCCCAAAACGGGAGGGAAACCGTAAACAGCAAGTCAGAGACCACCAAGTTGAAGATGAACAGGTTGGTCACCGTCTTGATGTTCTCGAACTTCAGGAGCAAGAACAAAATGAGGCCATTCCCCAACAAGCTGATAGTGAAGACCACGTAGAAGAAGATGGGGACCACCGCGTCTCCGAATTTATTACTGTCCGTTTTGGAGCAAAGAAAGACGAAGTCTTCGTCGTAATTCATCGAACTGGCTGTAGAGCCAACAGTGGTCAAGTTGGGAAGGTGGTCCTGGTCTACAACAGCCATGGCAGCCTTGTGAGGTTCTCCAGGACCCGTTGCGAAAAAATGTTAAATTCCTTCAAAAATCACATTGGATTGGACTATCGGATCCTACGGGCGAGATAGGGGAAGCAGTTTCAGCTAGTGATCAGGATTTGTTCTAGGAACCCCCGTCACCCACTCCCGATGGCTGATGAGCAATGAGCATGTTGCAATTTCAGGAAGCTATGCGAATGCTCTTTGTGCTGCTTCAAGCTTTAAGAAGCAGGAAACACATTGACGGCTTTGATGGAGACTTGTGCAATGGTTGTTTCTTGTCGAGATAAATCAAACGCATCGAAAAAAAAGCTAAACCGATAAAACTCCGCACAGAGATTGAGGACAAGATATATGACCGCCGACCATTTGTAGAATACTACACACACTGTTATACATTTATATAGCGCTGACATATACCGCAGCGCTGTACAGGGAACACTGAGCCAGTCACATCAGTCTTAGAGAGAGAGGGGAGAGAGGGGGGAGAGAGGAGAGAGTGGGGGGAGAAGAGAGAGAGGAGAGAAAGAGGAGAGAGAGGAGAGAAAGAGGAGAGAGAGGCGAGAGAGAGAGAGAGAGAGAGGAGAGAAAGAGAGGAGAGAGAGGGGAGAGGGAGAGGGGAGAGAGAGAGAGGAGAGAGAGAGGAGAGGAGAGAGAGAGAGGATAGAGAGAGGAGAGGAGAGGAGAGAGGATAGAGAGAGGAGAGAGCGAGAGAAAGGGAGAGAGATATAATTTTCAGTCTCTTTTCTCCGCAGACTCAGACTGAAAATAAAATGACGCTGCAGATGATAGGCTTCGAGGGCACTGAGAGAACTGAGACTTTCCTAATTACTCACATCTCGGATCTCTGACACATCACCTCATATCTCGGTAACAATTGGTTGGTATTGCACTGGCAGCGCACGACTGAAAATTTCCAACTTCATGAAGGATTCGTAAAGACTGCGCTCGTTGCATTTTGGTAACAACGTGCATTACATTATATCCAATGGCAACGCGTGGAAGACGTATTATATCTCTGGTAAAGTCACATGTCCATATTTCTAACAGAATCAACCCGCAAACTGATGACAGGAAATGAGGAAAATGAAAAGTAAGAGAGCACAGGTAATCAGTGCGCAGAATGCGTCTAGTGCGTCATTTAATTTGAACGCGATTATTATTATTATAAGTGATGCAGCGATACCATTTCTTCAGACCAAGTAAGAAAACCGATGATTTTCCTCCAGTACTCACCGATAAAGATGGGCTCGGGCATGTTCGCAGCTCCACGTGCCGAGCCCGCCAGCGCAGCAGCGCCAATCACAGGCACTGAGACATTTCCCGATTTCTGCAGCTGCGGACCTGGAAAATGTCTTAGTACCTGTGATTGGCGCTGCGCGCTGTCAGCTTCCTGGCGGGCTCGGCACGTGGAGCTGCGAACACGCCCGAGCCCATCCTTACTCACCGATACCAATTTAGTGTCATGTGACAGTTTTCCAAAAAAATAAATACAGAGCAATGATTGTAGGAAAGTGGTAGAGCTGCAAATGCTGTGATCCTGGTAGTTCTGCCAGTGACTCCAAGCTGCAGAGGTACTACAAATCCCAGCAATTCATTATACAGCAATGCAGAATACCGCCAGCTATAGAGGACTACAAATCCCAGCAATTCATTATACAGCAATGCAGAATACCGCCAGCTATAGAGGACTACAAATCCCAGCAATTCATTATACAGCAATGCAGAATACCGCCAGCTATAGAGGACTACAAATCCCAGCAATTCATTATACAGCAATGCAGAATACCGCCAGCTATAGAGGACTACAAATCCCAGCAATTCATTATACAGCAATGCAGAATACCGCCAGCTATAGAGGACTACAAATCCCAGCAATTCATTATACAGCAATGCAGAATACCGCCAGCTATAGAGGACTACAAATCCCAGCAATTCATTATACAGCAATGCAGAATACCGCCAGCTATAGAGGACTACAAATCCCAGCAATTCATTATACAGCAATGCAGAATACCGCCAGCTATAGAGGACTACAAATCCCAGCAATTCATTATACAGCAATGCAGAATACCGCCAGCTATAGAGGACTACAAATCCCAGCAATTCATTATACAGCAATGCAGAATACCGCCAGCTATAGAGGACTACAAATCCCAGCAATTCATTATACAGCAATGCAGAATACCGCCAGCTATAGAGGACTACAAATCCCAGCAATTCATTATACAGCAATGCAGAATACCGCCAGCTATAGAGGACTACAAATCCCAGCAATTCATTATACAGCAATGCAGAATACCGCCAGCTATAGAGGACTACAAATCCCAGCAATTCATTATACAGCAATGCAGAATACCGCCAGCTATAGAGGACTACAAATCCCAGCAATTCATTATACAGCAATGCAGAATACCGCCAGCTATAGAGGACTACAAATCCCAGCAATTCATTATACAGCAATGCAGAATACCGCCAGCTATAGAGGACTACAAATCCCAGCAATACATTATACAGCAATGTCGAAAGGCAACCAGCTATAGAGGACTACAAATCACAGCAATCCATTATAGATCAGTGCAGAATAATATGAAGCACCATACTCTGTGTTGCTTCGGAGTACTGGCCTGATGCCTCCAGTGTAGGATCTCAGGAGGGCTGTGTGGGGTCTCAGGTGGGCTGTGCGGGGTCTCGGGAGGGCTGTGCGGGGTCTCGGGAGGGCTGTGCAGGGTCTCGGGGGACTATGAGAACTCATGAAAATGCCTAGTAATTGCGCATCTCTTATTATTATACAGGATTTATACCAACAGTTGGCACAGTGCTTTAGAAAATGGAGGGAGACCAGGTGGCATACCTTATCCCGCTGGATGAAGTCCCCTCTTCTCTTTGCCGGCTTTCATCACCAAGATGGCGTAATTACATCACAAGTATACGTAATAATGTACGCACTGGGTGACACCAAAATGACTTGCAGTCATCTTGGTGTCACCCCCTCTTAAAAGTCGAGTACTTGGTCATGGACCGAGGGCCTGACAGCTGCATGAGAGAGGAGGGGACCCGGTGGCATACCTTATCCCGCCTGATGAGGGTCCTATCTTTGCAGGGTCCATCACAAAGATGGCCGCTGGCAGTTAGGCACACGTCAAGTCAATATGCGCATGCGTAATGATGTCACGTGTGTGCATGAGGACATCATGCACACGTGTAATGACCTGCCACCAGGTGACGCCTGGCCTGGTACTGTCTCTCACCCCCTCTGATGGTGTCACCCGGTGCAGGCGGCAGCGAATGGATGAGGCATTGAAGGCGGTTCCGCCCCCCGCCAGTCTTTGCGTACTCTAAAGATTTGTTTTGGAAGCTCGGTCTGTGTTTTTTTGTCACATAAACAATCTCCGGAGCCTGCGGAATAAGTGACATTTGGATTTCACAATCGCCGAGACGACGGCAAAGCTTCAACTGCCGAAAGTTAAAAAAAAAAGGAGGAAGAAAAAGGAAGCAAAACCGCGACAAGGAGCCGTCAGAGGCGGCCAGCTAACAGAAAACTGACCGCATCTGTCACTGGGAGGACAGACCTGTCACTGTGCGCCCATCAAAATCCCCCACCCCCACCCCCTCGACCCCAATCACTCTGCAGACGGTAAACCGCTCAATAGGACATTGTTCATTCATAAAGAGGACCTGTCCTTGTTGGGGAAGTCATGATCGGGGGATCCGCAGAGAGAAGGAACAATGAAGAGATCACAGATTTGTGAAAATGATGGCGCCGCCATTGCTGAGTAAACAGCAGTGTAAACTCAGAAACGATTCTTCCACTGTAATCGGCATCCGGATAATGTCAGACTCCGTGAAATTCCCTTACTTCATCTAGTCAGTAATCTGAGGTCAAGGGTCAGTCCGCACAAAACCCATATTCCATTGTTTGTTTGCTGCTGGGATGTTAAATGGCCTACTAGCACCTTGTGTAGGTTGATAAGAACTCCTAACATCCCTCTGCATTTTGTACAGTATAAAGCAGGGGTAGGCAACCTCAGCAGTCCAGCTGTGGTGGAACTACAAGTCCCATGAGGCATTGCAAGACTCTGACAGCCGCAGACATGACTCCCAGATTCAGAGGCGTGATGGGAATTGTAATTGTAAAGAGCCGTTACCGGCTGTTTCACATATACCCGATCGGCGGCTCTATAGCCTGCCGATCGTGTATATGTGCTGGCTGCGTGCCCCCCCTCGAGTGCTGCCGTCGCCCCCCTCCTGACCCCTCACCTTCAATCCCGGGATCCGCTACCCCATCTGCGGCCCGGGACCGGCTAGGGAGGGTGTCAGGAGGTAAGATGGGAGGGAGGTCAGCATCTTCCTCCTTGCTGACCTCCCTCCGGGCTGTGAATGCAGAAGTCATGTGTATTACATCACTTCCGCATTCACCTGTCAGTCCTCTGGCTGCTATAGCCATAGAAGAAGCTGGTGAAGCAGATCTCGGCTTCATCAGCTTCTTTTGGGGTCCTCAGGTGACATTAGGGGTCTTAGAGACCCCTAATGTCTCCATAAAGAGGACCTGTCAGTGTGCCTTTGCTATTATATAGGGGATTGTTATCCCCCTATATAATAGCAATAACAATAAGTGTAAAAAAATATATATATATAAATAAAAA